ACACGCCCCCTCCCGACTTGCGGCAGGCGTCTACGAGGGCGAGCTCCGCACGTACGACCCGCACTGGAACATGGCGAGCCGGCCCGTCCGGACACCGCCCCTCCCTCCCCCCCTCCCCGATACCCCTCTCTCCCCGTCCCCGTCCCTCCGCCCGGGCCGCCGCCCCCCGCAGGTGTTTGCCGACGCGCGAGAGCGGGCCGTCGTGGAGGTGTCCCGCGGCGGCCGAGGCGGCGAGGGCGGCGAGGGCGGCGGCTGCAGCAGCGGCACGCGAGTGTGCTGGTCCGAGCAGACTGCGGCGCAGCAGCTGCTGTTGCGGGGCAATGCCGTGGCGCCCCCCCCCCCCCTCTTCCCCGCCCTCTGCCCTCGCATGCCCCTTCCCACCGCCCATGCGTACCCGGCAGGTGAGCGTGTGCGACGCGGCCGCTGCCGAGCACGAGATGCAATCGAAGCGCGTGCGAGAGGCGCACCTCTCGGCGTTCGCGCGCGCCGCTGCCGCCGCGATTGAGCGCGCAAAGAGCGAGGCGCGCGAGCAGGCGGATGCGGTGGTGAGGGGAAGACCTAGCCAGCAGTCGCAACCGGGTGGTCCGTCGCAATCGGATCAAGCTGCGCAGAGTTGGGTGCTCGGTCGAGGCGTAGAGAGAGTTGACGAGGCGTCAGGCGACGGAGCAGGTCCCGGGTCGAGGGCGCGGGACGCCCCGTCAGCCTTTTAAGTGGCGACTGGTTGCGTGTGTGTTGAGGCCGACTGTCTCGTGTCTGCTGTCTCGGGTGTGTCCCAGCCGACAGCCCTGAGGTCCGGTGGTCCGGCGCGGCGATTCGTTTCGCGAACTACAAACGCTGAGAGAAAGAAAACACATATGACATAAAACACTCTCGCGCGGTATGTCGTGTCGTATATGTACGTACATAATATTAAAAATTATATAATTATTTAATATAACGTATCTCCCCTCTCGCCGTGGTGGGCGTCGGACCGTCGGCGCTCGGCGGAGGCGCGTGGCATAATCTAACGAACGCATATGGCATATCATCGTCTACAACTACATCAGCACCCCGGCACCGCGCACATATCGCGGATATTCGTCAGACTTCAGAGAGGACCGAGCCGAACCTTTCGTGACCGTTCAGAGCCGTACGGTTTAGATCTTTGTATTATTGTTACACCCTCGTCGCTCCACACCCAACGACCTCGATATGGGCACCCCATACACCGTTGGTACCCCCATCGCGTCCTCCTCCGCCTCCAACCCTGGGTCCAACGGCGGCTGCGGCGCGCCGCCTTCGTGTGCACCGCAACCCTCGGCTCGCCCGCCAACCCCGACCTCCACGCCGCTGCTTGCGCTCGCCACCGCTCGTCTGTCCAGCAGCTGGGCGTGCCGCGTCGGGCAGCAGCCCGACCAGCGCCTGCTGCCCGGCGGCGCGTCGCCGGGCGGGTCGATGTCTGCGACCGTGTCTGGCAGCGGCCGGTGCAACGTCTCCGGCAGGCTAAGCGCGACGAGGCCGCTCGCGAGGGAGGCGGCTCCGAAGATGGCCATCACGGCGGCCGTGCCCGCCACGGGGACCAGCAGAAGCGCCTGCGGGGCGACGATGCCCCCGACGCGCGCGGCGAGCGAGCACGCGCCGATCGCGGCGGTTCGCACCGACGTGGGGAAGAGCTCGGCGCCGTAGAAGTAGGCGACGTTGAAGGCGCCGGAGGCGGCGAGCTTGCCCATCATCGCGGCAAAGGTGATGGCGGCGGTCGGCAGCGGCAGCGCAGCGACGAGGCAGGCGACGCCCGCGCCGAGCAGGCAGCCCGCCAGCAGGGGTCTGCGGCCGTACCGGTCGGCGAGGAGGGTGGACCCTCCGTAGCCCGGCACCTCGACCAAGCCCGAGAGCGCGTTGTTGAGGTGCACGCTCTCGGAGAGGTTGCCCACGTTGAAGGAGAGGCCGTAGTAAACAAACGAGACGACGCACCACTGCACGACCATCAGCAGCAGCCGCTGCCGCACCTTTGGGCCACGCAGCAACGCAGCCAACCCCTCGCCCTCGCCGCCCGCGCCGCCGCCCCCCGCCTGCGGCGGCCGCAGCGGCCGCTCCTGCTGCCGGTTGGCCGCGGCGACGCGCCGGAGCACGCGCGCCGCGGCTTCAGCGCCGCGGCGGCTGAGGAGCCAGCGGGGCGACTCGACGAGCCAGCCGAGGAAGAGCAGGACGGGCAGCTCGAGCGCAAAGAGCACCGCCGCGTAGAGCCGCCAGTGCGAAGCCGCGTCGGTGGCCGCGGCGACGAGGGAGAGGGTGACGATGCCCGCGGAGAAGGCGACCGCGACGACGAATCCCACGGTCGCGGAGCGGCTCGCGCTGAAGAGCTCAACGCACAGCACGAAGGAGATGAGGCCCTGCCCCGCCTGCAGGAAGCCGAGGACGAGCCGGGCGGCGGCAAAGGCTGCGTACGAGGGCGCGACGACCTCGGCGAAGCTGCACGCCACGTAAAGGACCATGACGATGTTGAAGGCGCGCCGCCGCCCAAGCCGGTCCGATGCGGCGCCCCAGACGGGCGCGCCCACAAGCATGCCGACGAAAAAGAGCGAGTTGAGGGCGGAGGTGTGTGAGGACTCGATATGGAGCTCGGCCCTGAGGCCGGGCTTGGCAAACACCATGAAGAGGGTCTGCAGCGCGCCCACGAACCACACGTACGCCATGAGCGCGCAGTGTAAGCACTGGAACCGACCCCATCCCATCTCATCGAGGATCTCGTCCAGGTCCGCCTCCTTCCCGGCAGCACCGTCCGGTGGCTCCGCGGCGGGAATGGGGCGCACCATCGCGGCAGTAGGTATTCTCGCTGGGACCGTGGGTAAAAGCGCTTTGTGCGAGTTATTCACAGCCGTGTTTTGAGAAGTCATGCCCCACAACCTCCGCCCTCGACGCCGTGTGAGGTCGGACCCGCACTCGCCAGCAGCCGCAACTCTGCCGCCGTCGCTCCGCCGGCTCAACCGAGTATCGGGCGTTGAGGGCGGCGGCGCAAAGTGGGTCTGGTGCGCCACACGGCCACAACCCTTGCGCCTTGCCACCGCCCTTGCCGCCGCCCTTGCCACCCTTTGCCGCCTTGGCTCCGCCGCGGGCGGCGGTGGGAGCGGCCTGCTGGGCTAGCATGTTGTGAATGTCCTTGCTGGGGACGGGCACGTGGAACGCACGTTACATGTACATGTCATGTTTGAGCGGTCATGAATGAGTGCGCGACACGCATGTTGGTTGTTGCGAGCAGCGTTGTTGATGTTCTGCGCGTCGCCACAGACGGCGGCGCGCGAGAGCTGTTGCGAGTGGTGCTGGGCGAAGCCGGCCCTGGGCGCTGCCGGAGGCTGTGCCGTAGAGCGTAGTCGGTGCGGTCGACGGCGCTCGGGCTGCCGACCTCTTTGGCGATCCGAAGTTGAAGATGATTCTCTTGGTTGGCGGCGCGATGCCGCCCTGGCTTTCGACGAGACAAATTTTGACGATTCCGTTCACAGCACATGCTGTGCCTGGCGGCTTCAGCATGTGCAGCGAAAAGCATCCTTTTCCAGTGTCTATCTGAAGGAGTTACTTCCTGAAGTAACTACTTACTTCGAGAAGTAACTATCCCCGCCCCGCGCCTGCAATGGCCCCTAGCCCCCGCCCACAGCTCCCTAGACACAGGGCAGACCTGGACTGGAGCGGACCCGCTCCCTAATACTCCTCTGAGGAGCGGTGGTCACCGTCGGAGTCGGTGTAGGAGCTCCACCGCGCCCGCCGGGGCTTGTTCTTAGGACTTGTGTACGCCGGGCGTATCGTGCACTTGGTCGCGGAGGCGAAGGGACCTCCTGCGCTCCCCAGGCGGCCTCACCGGAGCCTGCGGCATGCTTGGGCCTGGCAGGGGACGGTGGGGGGTGCGCTCAGTACAGTCGGGGCGCCTGCACCGCGTGAAGGCGTGAAAAAAGAAACGGAGCACTGCCGGAGATAATCATGCTCAAACTGTTGTCGGCGGGCGATGGCGCGATGGACTGAAACGGACGGCACGTCCCGGCTCGCGGCGCGCGGTGCATGATGTGAGCGCGTGCGGCAGAGGCGCGCCTTGAGGCGCGGCAGCGCCTTGCGGGGCTTCATGCTTCGCCTTCGATCGTGTCGTCACCATGTCGTTGACTCGCTGACCCGTGACAGCTTTGACTGCGACCGTGACCGGGTCGGGTCAAGCGTCAGATGGCCCCAAAGCGTGCAAAGGGAAAGAAGCCCGCTGCCGCCGCGGCGGCGCCGGGCCCAGCGGCGGCACTACTCGCAGCAGCAGCTTCCACAAGGCTGCAGTGGGCGCCGGCCCCAGGTGCAGCTGGCCCAAGCACGTTGCCGCCGCCGGTCGTGCAAGCGGAGTATGGAACCGCCGATGATGACCTCGTGCGGGTCGGCCCCCAGCTCGGTGTCGAGCTCCTCCCGCCGCATCGGCGCGGCGGCAGAGCCGCCCCAGCCGCTGCGCCTTCGCCTGCGGAGGCTCCTGCGGCGGCTGCACCTGCTGCTGCGGGTGAGCCCGACGACGACGAGCAGCCTGACGGCGCGCACATTCCAGACCTCGATGATGTCTTGGGCTGGGGGGGTGGCAAGGGTGTAGGAGGGCTCTCAGGAGACCGTTTGCCGGCAGCAGGGGGCGCGCGCTCGGCCGACATGTGCGCCAGAATGCCGCAGAAGTAACTATGAAGTAACTGTGTTTGGGCTGTCTCCCGGGCGTGTTTGAACCCTAGTTGTCGGCCCCAGTGACCGGTCTAGAGGTCTGTGTGTGGCCTGGGGGGGCCAAACAATAAGGCGAGGGGTTCCTAGTAAGCGGTTGGGGGGTGCGAGCCCGTGCTATAGTGCAGTGAATACTTACTTCCTGAACGGTAACTTCATCCTTCAGATAGACACCAGGGGTGCGAAGCGTGGACCCAAATCACCCCGTTTTTGCCCACATTTTCGGTCATCCGTTAAAATATCTGAAGATCCTAATTTAGGATTCTCCCCAAACCTTGCTCAGCTGACCTGATCCATCGCACCACGCATGCACATGGGCCAGGCCTGGGCAAAGAAACCAGTACCTCATCACGGGCTTCCCTGAGCGTCACCCAGCTCGGTGATCGCGCCGGCCGGACACCACTGTGCACTTGAGACGCGGCCGTTCCGGGCATTCAGCGCGACCTTCGGGTGCGAAAGACATGGGCTGATAAAGGGCTCTATGGCTCAATTGCTATGGCTCAGACTGGACTCCTCTGACCTCTCCGCGGTTGAGGTCTGAAAAGCCTTCTGATGCCCACACGGCTTTAGCCCCTAAAAAAATCAGACATTCTTAGCTTCTTGCCC